CTTTAAAAATTAGGCAAGATATGATGTGCCTATCTTTATGACCTTTTCTCTCCATTTTCATTGCTTACATGGCATTTCATAAATCAAGTAGTGTTTGAATGAATAATTAAAACAAATAGTAAGACTGGAGTTGAAATTTGACAAAGGTGAATAAACGATCCAGCATGTCTTCAGTTGGAGATTAAGATTGGAATGTCTAGTGCGGCTTGTGGGCCCATTTTTGGGCTTTATTTAGATATTCGATAATTCGAACCGCTCAATGTGTAGAACTCATCAAGTACTATATCCCTATAAAAAATCACATTGATCGGATATCGATAGTTATTTGATCAAATCAGTTTTGTATAATAAAAAAAATGAACGGTAAAAAAATAAACGATTGATAGAAATTTTATCTAATCAAATTGCTATCGATATCCGATCAATGTGATTTTTCACAGAAATATAGTATTCAACGAGTTCTACATATTGAACAGTTTACATATTGAATAGTTCATATTATCAAAAAGGGATCCAAACATAGGCCCCACAGGTTGAACTAGACGGTCCAGTCTGGATCCCAAAATAAAATATTTACTTTACGGTATACTTTGGATACACAAAATGCATGATTGTTTTGGAGATACTAATACACATACCATATACATGAACATATCCACAATCAAAAGTAAAATGTACACATAAAAAGAATGGTAATATTATTTTTTATTCATATTACTAAAAAGTATGAGTGATGTGATGGTAAGGCTGCAAAATGTTATGGAATCTAGACACTAGAAAAGCATAGTATAATTATATCAAATTTGTAAAACTCTCATTGCATTTTCTTTAAATCTTAACCCGGTTAGAGTAATTTATCATTTTTTTATAATGAGGAACAGCGCCCTTTCGACCCGCTCATGCAAGAGTTTGCCCCTACCCCGTTAGATGATCACCAAATATTTAACACAGATTTCTAAAATAAAATAAATTATAAATAGCTTCATAAGCTATACCAAATAGCCCCAAAAGCACCGCTTCTCTAACTTCCAAATAATTTTGCTTAGCTAAATTATTTCTACCTTATAAACCTTAAGTAGAAATTGCACTAAATTCTCTTACACAAACTCCAACAATAAAATTAATAAAATAAAAATTTATAAACAGCCTCTATAAATTACACCAAATAGCCCCAACATACGACATTGGAAATGGAATCCCTTTGCTCCAGCAAACTGCTCTCTCTATCACGTAGTGGGTGTTTGGGAAGTAATTATTTTAGTAGGCCATTTTAATTTTTAACTATTTTAATAGGTTAAAATTTTTGTATTTGAAAAGATAATTAGATTTTTTTCGTAGTTGGATGTGATATTTGTGAGAGAAAAAGTGAAATGATTATGAGTTTGATGTGATATTTTATCTTATTAACTATTTTAGCCTATTTTGTCTTTTAATGCTATTTTAACCAAAAAAACTAAAAAGCATTCTTCCCAAACACCCCCACAATTGCAATCCACAACATAAGCATCCCAACATAATCTGAATGATGAGTGCTTCAATAATAGGGAAATGAGCGTATGGGTAATGAACAAAAGGCTTTCCTAATCAACTGACCTCAATGATTTGCATATATGAAGGCCCCATTGAGTTCACGAGTCCTCCTGTTTCAGAATTGGACCCCATGTGAATCGCCATTGTCAGCTTGTGCCAGTATTGTGTGCAGGAAGATGGCTAAAATCCCCATATGTTTATGTTCTCTATCAACCTTTCTATGGACCACCACCGGGCCATATATGATAAAAGAAGGTCATCACCATTTATTTCATGTGTAGACTAACCTCAGAGCTCTGATTTGTACTGTGTATAGAACAGTGTTACCACGATGACAACTTACGTTGTGTTTGGTTAGAAAATTTGAGAAGAAATTTGAAAACGAAAAAATATATATATATATAAAATTAGATGAAATGTATGTATATTTTATTCATATTTCACTTACCTTTTCACTTTCTCTTTTCAAATTTCTTTCCAAATCCTCCAATCAAACACAGTATTAGTGATTTATGTTTCAGAACACATGTTCCACAACATAGTACACTATCGTTTTAAAACGGTGAATTTAACAATCCAAAACGATCTTATAACTTTTTTCTATGTTTTTCATTAAAAATTTTTCTTAATAAAGAGAAGTGAAATGTAATGAACTAAAATCGAGATGAAGTGGAGTTTTGTATTGACAAAATGTAAGATAATTGGTCATAATAGCGGTAAAACTTTGTTGAACAATTAAGTCAGTCCTAAGATTTATGAGGCCTAAAACAAACTATGAAAATGGGGTCCTCTTATATATATTTATTTTAATAAAAAATTCATGCAGAAAATGTCAAGTATCAACAAGTTTTTCATTTAAATTTACTTGCACATATAATTATTAAAATTATAAATTAAAATTTACTTTTATATATTAAAATAGAAAAAAAAATCATTACAAAATATTAAAAACTAAGCCAAAACAACACTTGTTTGTATATGTTTTAATTTCAATTAGGCCAAACCACAATTACAATTATTATTTTTTTTCATATGGGGCCAAGAGAATTTTTTGGGCCCTTAAGACTGCCCTAAAGCAACAAAAATAAATTGAACCTATTTAAATTTGTAATATACTATAAGATACTACTAAATTTGGGAGTCTTGTTTTGGACCAATTTTTTGGGGCTCTAAAGCACAGGCCTCAATAGCCTTAGCCGAGGGCCAGTTCTAAAAAACACACTATAATATATTGGATATCCTATTAAGAAATTTACTCTTATCATATTATATTTTAAAACATGTCCCGTATTACTATTTCTCGTCCCAAAATAATTTACGTTGTAGGTAACATGGGTATAGAAAGAGGTGGGGCAGGGTCTTATTGAGGTACAGAAGAATTGTTTCAGATTCCCTCTTATTTAGAAGACAAGCATAGTACTGTAGATCATTGAAAGTAGCAGTGGAAACTTGCCTGATATACCAAGTGTATGCATGTGCTTGTACGACTACACTCTCAGTAGTCCCCTAGGTAAGAAGATCACGCAAAAATGGATGGATGAGTCCAACTTGTCTTCTATTAAGCCGATTCAGGTGTGTTAGATCGATTTCACCTGTCTAATAACAACTTCTGTGTTACATGGACTCTTCTACTTCTTCTTAATATACCCATATCAACCGGATATAACAATAATAAATGTATGGAATGTGTCTGACACCATTACTTGATTTGGACACTTAGAATCTCCTAAGTTTATATGATGCTTGAGAAAGAAGACACTTCTAAATCTCATTTTCTAGTATAGAAATATTTGTAACTTCTTACAAGAATGAAATAAATAAATTCTAATGTTTACCATAACTCCAATTTATTTTAATTTTTTTGAGAATCAACTCCCATTTAATTTGAAATTTCTAAATAATTTACATCTATATAAAAATATTATACAATATGCAACAGATATATACACACACACAAAAGACATGTCCATATACCTATACCCAACTTTGGTTGAATATTCCAATATCGTAAAATTTAAGATTCACGAAGTTTGTCGTTTGGACCCAAACCCGCATCCACACCTAATACTTGTATCGGAGTCCACATAACATGGTCAATGACTATTGTTCTTATCAATTCGAGAGCACCGAGTCGGCATGCTGAGTTGGTGCTCCATGACAATTGAATAAATTACTCAAGAATAGATAATGCATATATAATAAAGAACCTCTTCCTTACTTATGAAGAGGTGTGAGAAAGGTTCATAGCAATACACCATGTAAGTTGATCCATCCCCATATAGCTGATGAAGTTCTATTGAACTTCTAGAATGGAGGATCTTAGCAAAGATGAGTCAACTATTTCGGCGAGCATGCAATATACAGATTTCCCAATTCACAGATACTTTGAAAAGATAATCATGTCCGTATTGTATTGAATCACGGATACTTCAAAAAGAAAATCGTATCTGTATCAATGCTCTACGTATCTAACCTATCTTAAAATTAATGAGGCATTTATTGCATAACATTAGAGTAAAATTGTAAGAATAAATGCAAGAATAGTTTCTAATGCTTTTCATCTCCTTAGAAGAAAAAATGAGAAACAATAGATTAAAAGCAGGTCAAATTTGGTTGAAGTTCATTCATGTCCACATAACATAACTTTTTTATGTGAATAAATAAATAATATGTTCAAAGTTGAAAATATCTGATACAAAGTTAATGACAGGTAATTTGTTACAAATATGTAATGAAATAATCAATTTTTTCAAGAGACCTTTTCATGTTGTTATAGCATCTATAACTTCCTCTTGGTTAGGTGAGCAGCAAAGAAAATAGACATCCACAGGAATTTGCTAGACTCCCCGATAATAATCAGTATCAAATGAACATCTCTCCTATAATAGTAAAGGTTCCCATAGCAATGAAATGTATTTGTTCAGACGCCAGACCCGCCAATGATTCATCAGCCGACTTGCTTGAAAAATAGTATCACAAAAATGGACACAAAGCAGAATAGCACCCGATCTTGTTTCTGGATTGAGTGTAAAAGGGGTATATGAAGTTCCTTTTGTTCCTCAGCATATATATGTATAACATATCCATATCCTTTTTTTTTCTTTTTTTTAGAAGTTATCATATCAATGTGTCCGTATTGTGTCGTATAGCCTTCATTTAAAACATGATAGCAAATGATTCTACTCACCATCGTCAACAGCTTGCCGAATCCAGCTCATTGATGGGAACTTTTATTAATTAATTTTATGCTTCACAAAACCATATATATATTCTCAAATGGAACCAAAGCGATTCACACACATATAGCACCAATAAAGTTAATGGCACATCCCAAACGTCAAGTAAAGAATTGAAGTAAGTGAAAGTCAATAAAAATTGAGTGCTCATTCAGGTGATAAGAAAGGAACCAAAAATGCAAATGGGTTATTGCCCAAAATTGAGCAAAGATAACAAATAAAACCCAAGCCCACTTGCAAACCATCAAAATCAATAATTAATGATAATGGAAAATTCTTTCAGAAATTTACAAGAGAGAGCATTATTGGAAATATGCAGAAACCAAGTCTGCAGAGCCACAACCACAACAAATTTTGTTGTCAAAAAAGTAAATGTACAATAAACAACAAACAATTAATGCATAAAAAAATACCAAGCAGAACGATAAAAACTATCTCACCAGAAATTAATTAAAGAAATAGTATACCACTATAGTAGAAGGAATTGGTGATCGATAAAAGTACCCTTAAGCCGTGTGATTTGGGACTCAACTGAACAGGATTCACCAAAGACCATGAAAGTGCTTCATCATTACAATGTGGTTTCTGTCCTGTTTAACCTGAGATAGCAACAAGTGCCCACAAGTTAAGCAACTACAGATCACACTAAATGAAATTTTTTCAACAATAAGAATTTGGAAAAAGTAAGGCTCATGGGATCGTGATATAAGAATAAAACAAAAAAGCAGCCCAAGTAACAATCTAAAAAATAAGTTATCCAAAATACAAGTTCTATACTTATGTTTCAATGACAATTATCAAAACCACATGAAATCTAATGACTAAATTTCTAAAGTGATCTAGAAAGGGCGAGGGATGTGATTTCCCTGAAATTGTTTCACCTCATCTTTAATCCATGGCAAAAGTGATAGTGAACTGCTGAGTCCTGGAGTTAGGTTAGGAATCAGGATGCATAAGGCTCCTAGGTCATTCTTTAGAGAAAGAAAGCATATGATAGAAAAGAGAAGGATCACATTTTTGTAAGATTATAGTGAACCTTGAATAATTTTTTATTTTTTGTTGTAAATCATTATCCGTTCCACTATATTTCTACATATTTTGAGAATGAGTGGTATTGTTGTAACAGGTTGCCACAACTGAGAAAAGCTAACGGATCATCACCTCCCCCAATTAACCCCATGCTTTTTCTTTTAAATAGGTAAATAGTTCAAGACGTGTGCTTAAATAGCATTTAAAACCTTTTTTTTTTTTTGATAAATAAATAGCATTTAAAATGTTTGAATTTTAAAATTCAACAATTTATCATTTTTATTGTCAGAATATTCAAAATATATTAGCAAACCAAAAATCGAATAAATATCAAATTTGAATTAGATCAAAAATTCTTCATATTGTAGGATCATTTTGAAAAAATATCTGCCAAGGATGTCAACTAAAGCTGCATAACCATTTAAAAACAAGGAGAAATCCATCTCATAGATTGAATTTAAAATAGATCATCTAATTGTACTAATGTAGAGAAAACATGGCAGTCATCCAAATGCAAATGGATTTTTTCTTTCCCAATGTTTTCTCATCTTAAAAGAACATACTCTTCTAAGATAAAGAAAGGGGCCTAAAATAAAAAACAATGCAAAGTAAGTTCACCTCTCTTGGCTTTGTAAATCACGACACCAATAAGAGGGCTTAGTGTTGTCATTTACACAATATTGAAATGTAAAGGGGGTTGTTAGCTAAACAAGGTTGGTGTTTGCTCAATGAAAAGTAGAGTTATGTTCTCAAGTACTTCATGCAAGTACTGTCACCAAAGGGATTTCCATGAATATTCAAATAAGAGAATCATACAAACCTTGAGTAAAACTCACCCTTGAAAACCAACTTATAATGAAAGGGTGCCCAAGAAACTCATATTCACAAGGTCAAGACTCATTTATTCAGAAGTGGGATCATAACATTCCACCACACTTAGCAGCCAATGTCCACGGCAGTCCCACTCTATCAACATTGAGCCAGTTCACTTCCAGTGGGTTCAATTGTAACAGCTGTTTTTGGGTGACCGCTCGAGCGGTCATTTGGTCGCTCAAGCGAAAATTTGTAACTCCCAATATCTCGCAGGTTTACAGGCGAGACCGCTCGAGCAAAGTAATGGTCGCTAGGGTGTAGAATATGAGTTCCCAGTATTTTCACTGTAGCTCTGCAAAACTTATGAGACCTTGCATTTATCGCTCGAGTGATGGAAAGTTCGCTCGAGCGGTCTCTTTGTATTTTGGTACTTCGCTCAAGCAAAAGAAAGTTCACTCGAGTGGTCTTGTTCGAGCCAGTAGTCTTAAATTTTGATCTAAACACTTTTTGACTACACTTTTTCACTCTCCTTCTCTCTCTAAACCCTATTTTCAAAAACCCTAACTCCTAAACACTAGATCTCATCTATTTTTAGTAAGAATCCATTCTTGCTTCTTCATCAAAGTTGTTCATCTCATCAAGAGCTACATTTTGGACCGATTAGATATTGGTATCGTAGAGATTCATCATTGGGTCTTCATTCCTTCTTCCACAACTTTTGAGATAGGAATATCTTTACCTTTATATATTTATATTTTGATCTAAATAAGTGTGAATCATGTGATGAATACCACTATTGAGATAAATGAGATATATATATATATATATATGTGGGTTTTGTGCAAAAAGGGTATTTTTGGGGGAAATTGGTGATAAATTATGCCTTCAACTATGAGGTTGGGAATAAAAATAATTGAATCAAGGAAAATAAACATTAATATGGAAAATCCCTAAATTTTCATATAAACCCTAAGGGGATTGTTCATGAATTTGATGTAGTGGATAATTGATAAGTAGAATTGGAGAATCCTTGTGATTGTTAGTGTTGCATGAGAATGTACATGTTATGGAATGTGTTTGAGGTGCCCACTTGCCCGGTTCATGTGAGGACGACGAATATGGGGTTGTGATTGAGGTGCCCACTTACCCAGTTCACATGAGGGCGGCGAATGTGGGGATGTTGTGAGGCGTTCACTAGCCGAGTCGTGTGGGGACGACAAAAGTGGAAGGGTGTAAGGTGTCCACATGCCATCCGTGTGAGGACGGAAAAAGTGTGGAGGTTGATTGAAAAAAAGAGTTTTATAAAATGAAGTTTATTTTGTAATGCTTAAACAAAATACAAATGAACTCTTGGACTTAATATAGGTCATACATATTTACATCAAATATATATATATTTGGTTAAAGCTATTCTCTACTGGGTAAAATTGCTCATTCCTATTTTCACTAGCATTTCAGGAAATGAAGAGCCCCAAACTTGTTCATGAATAAGAAGATAAAGGCATTTCTTTTGTTTTGTTGAAGAAGTCTAATCTTTTGTGAACTTGACATTGTATCTAAATTATGAAAACTTTTATTTTATTATGAACTCCTTTGATTTTGGATTAATGTCTCAATGTAGTTAGTAAATTAGAAGAATCATGTAACTGTTTTGTAATTTCTCTAAGTCACTGAACAGGGTTATGTATTATTGTAATTGTTTTGTAAACAAAAATTTGCGGTTCAATGAGAAAGAGAACATTTGTATGGAACTGTGTTGTGTATATGTGTAGAAAATATTCATGTTACTAGTTATGTAATGATGTTTGGTGGGATGTTACAATTTGGTATCAAAGCGAACCGGGTTGAATACTTGGAGTTTGTGGAAGTGACTTTGTCGCATTGGGTTGTCATGCTAGGATGTGAAGTTGATAGCCTTATTTGATTATGTGTCTATGTGAATAGGTGTGTATGGGGTCAATCCTCTAGGAACTGACTTGTGTTCACTCCTTTGGAAAGACATTTGATCAATGCTTTTTCCACTAGGAAATCCTTGAACGTCGTGAAATGAGTTGATATCCTGGGAGACGGATCCGTATGTGTTTTGTTTGGTTATGTGCTTATTTGTTGAGAATGAGATTAAGACTTAAAGAGAAAGTGATGACCTAGAGTACGAAATGTGAGTTAATCGTGTCCACATCTGCTCTTATATAGAATGTCTAGACGTGGTAGGGGTCATGGCAAGCCTTGTCAAGGTAGTCGGGATATCCCGGCTCAACCCGAGATCCCTCCTCAAGAAGAGAGAGTGAGTCAAAACAGTGTGGCCGTCCACCGACCCAAGATGCTATGGGAGTGCTGGCTCGAGAGATGGCCGGAGCCCTTAGGTAGTCAATGGATATTCTTAGAGTTGAATAAGCTGCAAGAATAATTGAAGGAGAGACTAGAGTTTCATTCCTGAAGAAGGAATTTTTCCCCTCAAATTGTGCTGAATTTCTCGGGGGTGCTAAACCATTATAGGCGAATGAATGGCTTGAGAAAATCACTAAGTCTTTCGAGATCTTACATATTCGGGATGGTGAACTTCAGGTGGCATTTGCTAGTTATCAATTGAAAAGGGATGCCGGCTAATGGTGGAAATATGTCAAAGGTCGAATTGAACATACTTGGGAGGCATTTTCTTATGCCTTTCAGGAGAAGTACCTCCCTTACACTGCAAGGGAATGTTTGTGAAGAGAGTTTAAGGAACTAGAACAATCTAATTCCACAGTGGCGGAGTTTAAGGCTACTTTTACGAGTCTATCTCGTTTTGCATCCGGCTTAGTGGTGATTGAAAAGCGTAGATGTCTAGAGTTTGAGAAAAGCCTAAGGCCAAAAATTTTGATGAAATTGATGGAAAATATGATCCGGGATTACAATAGATTGGTGGAGTCCACGGCACATGTTGAAATTACGCTTGAAGGGAAGGAAAAGAAGCGGCGGCTTAAGAGACAAGGGTTTACCGAATCTTGAGGGGGTTCTATGGCATCCAAAAAGTCAGAGAGTTTTACATCTTCTCATCTACCGCCGTTACAGGCCGCATCATCAAATCATATACCAGGAAAGAGTACAAATAGTACGGGACAAAGTGGAATCACTTATTATCGGTGTGGTGAGTGGGGACACAAGTCCGTTACCTGTTCACGGAGTGGTAATCAACCACGGCAACCTCTACTCGTTCTCAAAACTTGGCCTTAGGGGGAGGTCAAACGCCCATTTGTTATCAATGTGACCAGCCGGGTCATATGAAGAATTTTGTCCCCAACTTACCGGAACAACTAGTGCTTCAGGGTTTTAGGCAGGACAAGGCCAAAGATAGACACAGCAACCGATTCATTTGGGCAGACTGCTAGAGCTATACATGGGGCTACCTCTGCACAGTCAATGCAACATGCCTATCATCAGAGGGTTGAGCAAAGTGAACAGAGGCCCCAAGGGAGTCTATGCGGTTACCGCATCCGAGCAGTCGACTGGACCGATGGTGATGCGAGGTACATATCTTATATATAATACATGGGCCAATGTGTTAATAGACATGGGGGCATCTCACTCATTTATAACATCTGCATTCGCATCCATGTTGGGGTTAAAGGTTGAACCATTAGAATCTTCTCTTGCGGTAGAATCACCGGTTGGGGTCCGTGGGTGTGTGATAAAGGTCACTGATCGCCGACTTCCTTTTAGTTTGGTATTGTTAGAGATGACTAGGTTTTGATGTCATTCTCGGTATGGACTAGTTGTC